GCCAACAATCATCTTGACATCCCATGCGCTCTATTGTAATAAGAAAGCAGCATAAATAAACTAAACTAGCTGGTCAGGAACCTGCTTGGATGAAAGAAACTATAATTTATTTTGTAATGATGAAAAGCCAACAAACCCCTGCACAAATAGTTTTAATCAGTGTTTAAAGACCAGTCTCCCAGGCTGCTGCTTGTTTCACAGTGTTGGGTGGGGGTGGAAATGAAGTGGGAAAACAGATAATCACCGTCGCAGTAACAGAAATCAGCGGGTAAGTGGAATAAAAAATAGTGCCAAACACTATTGACCTCTTCCAGCTCTGGATTGTTTCACAGACCGGATTACTTTACACTCATAAAGGGCAGGAATTATTGGGTATGCCGAAGTACATGCTAGCATGCGTTAGGTTAGCAGTTTTGTTTCTTAAGATTACTGAATGGAATTTCGTTGCATCAAGATCAATTAAATCTAAGGGAAGACATCTGACCTAGTGATTCCCTAATACAGGGCATGTGTACTGACCTTCAGAGTCTCTCCATCCCACTCTGACTGTGGTCAGCATTATTAATTGACCATGGTTCTCTTTCTCACTGAGCCTAGATTTAGCATCAGAATCTTTCCCAAATCAGAGGTACAGCCTCTTCTAATTAACGATTTGGAATAATTTGAAACCTGTTTGCTACCCCTAATTGATTCTAAATTTCCTGATGGAAGAAGTTAAGATAGTTGACTATGACTGCCCACATCATCTAGCTGTTTAGTAACTGAGGAAGAATTAAAGCAGAGGTGACCTGGCTCTTTGTTCATTACTTTTTCATTACCCTATCCAGACTAAATAGGATTTTCAGATTTTAGGAGGAAAAGGGCTATAGTTACCTGATAAATTACAGTTTTGTTTTGCTTTTCTAATAATGTTATGTCATATATTCTACCTAGGAACTTCTAGTAATAAATTACTTATAGTAATTTTATTTTTCATGATTTGATCCACAATTTAATTTTATAATTATATTCTTAAGAAGATACACTCACCCCCACACAGAGAGGGTTATTTAAGAGATTTTGTTTTAGGAAGAAGGTAATCTAATATTCTATTTGTACTTTGAGACAAACATAAAATAATGACACTATTGGCAAATGCCAAGATCACTTTTTATTTGGGTTAATTATCCCAAGAAAAGGATTTCTACATTGTATTAAATTTTTTTTTGGTTTTGATAATTTTGAAATGAATATTAACACTTATGGAAATTTGATCATTTTAATTAAAAATTTCAAAATAGTTCATATGGAAAAAACAATTTCTCATAAGTTTTAAAAAATTAACCATTTGCTTTGGGTATTATAAATAAATTCTCCATACTTGCCATTTTGAAATCAGATTTAGGTAATCCTTTCTCCCATTTTATGTTCAATGTTGTTTTTGTTTTATAAATAGTGAAACTGTTGATCTCATTTGAATTGTTATGTGGAGAGAGTAAAAAGTGCAATACTCAGAGTCATTAACTTGTAATGGCTCATTTTAGTTTCTCATTGAATCAGTCTTTGAGACAAGCAGTGTAGCATGGTGTTTCCTCTACCTCTTCTAGTAAAACAAAGGGCATTTTATTTAGGAAAATATGAATGCAAGTAGTGTTGTTAGTAAAGATTCGAAGAGAATTTAAAATCTTATTTTAGAAGCAGTGGCATCCTGCTCATAAACTTCTTGTTTTCTTTCTTTTTCCTTTGCTGTGAAACTATAGGGATACCTCGAGGCATGTCCAAAATTTTCTCTAGCAGGGGACTTAGAGACATAAATATATTTCATACGTTCTTAATCACTAAGTTTCTTTAATAGCCCTTAATTTACAGGAAGAAAAAGGACCAGAGTTAGCTCTTTCTACACACTTTAGTAAACAAATGCCTCTTATAAGTCAATAAAGAATTTGAGCTAAACCTGTGAATTATCTCATTAGTCGAAAACATGTATTGAGAGTTCATCGGAGGCAGGCCAAGCTATTAAACTCAGAGCTTATCTTTAGGGCTTCCCATCTAATTGGGATATGTCTCAATTTATTGGAGATAAGTAGGTAGAAATTAAATGACTATTAATTTTAGACACACACAAGTCATTTTAACTTTTACAAAAAGAAGAAATAGCATTCACTCACCAGACCAGCAAGTGTTGCGAATCAGTTACATTGTGTATTGTGTGCTTTGTGAAGGTGATCTTAGAAATCTTAATAAAGGTTCACTTTTATTTGCCTACTTTTATGTCACTTTTATTGAAAAATTGCCTTGATAGTTTTGCTAGTAAACTTTTAATTTTTTATTTTTAGAGAACAGACATTGATAAAATAGACTTAAATTTGATGGATTCTTCAGAAAAATTATCCTGATTGCAGTTATTAGAATTGCTTTGAATATATTTAAGCAGCTTAGATTACGATTCTATTATGTGAATGGTAATGTACTTGAAATTATGTAGAATGCCACAATTTTATAAAATATTTCTGTGTTGATGTTAAAATGTGATCAGATATGCTTTTCTAAACATGAGCACACATCTGACACAAATTGACTTGATGGTTGTCCAGACTGGGATTCTAGTTCCTACACCTACTCCCACTCTTCCACCCACATCTATTGGACAAGTGCCTGATTAAACAGATGGCCTTCGGCTATGCTCTCAAAACAGGCAGCCTCCACCTTTATTGAGCAAAACGTTGGGTGAAAGTAGGCTGTATTGTGTTATTGTGCTCCTGGGCATGATAATTTGAGTGAAAAGCTACTATCCATTACTGTTGTTGTTTGTTGTTGGAAATACCTTTTTCTTTATGAATGAATATGTGAAAATTAGAGGATGACAGATGGAGTTTCAGGGATCTGGAAAATCTATAGATAGGGGAGTAGTTCTCAGTCAAATATAAAAATAAAAAATCAGCAGGAGTGTGAAATGCCGTGCAGTTTTATAATTGCCTGTAGCTAAGATTTTAGAAAATGTTTGAATTAGCCAAGAGACATAGGTTGATCATGAAATTTCCCCATGTGCCCCAAATAGAATTCACAACATCTTTCCTAGCGCCCCTTCAACAAGCTACTCCTTCAGCAGTTACAAAGTTTAATTTGGGGCAGGACATTAAGTGCTGGCCACCACCTCTATAAATACTATATACCTTCTCATTGTGAGTCAGAGGCGTTTGGAGGCCTGAAGTGATAGAGTGGCAGAAGAATTTATGACATCAGAAGCGAGTTTTGTTTGTGGTTGAAGAATGGCTTTGAAGGTCAGTGTCTGTGACGAAAGCACCAAGAGTGAGCCGGGAGCAGCAATTAGATGGCCGGTGCTTGATTTGATGCACTAGTATTGGATATTGAGAAAACCTTCCAAGGCGTTTGGTCTCCAGGCATTTTTCAGGATATTCTCTTTAATGTTGCAACAGTTAACAGGCCATCACATGTTTAACCTCAGGGAAATAAGACTATGCTCAATTTGTTTTAAAAATAATCCATTGCTTATTGATGGAATCACGAACACTCTGATATTTGCTTCTATTAATTGTGGCAATGCATGGTCCTATGGATAGCACCCTAAGTTCAAGTTAAAGACCCCCTGCACCTCTTTCCCAAATGATTTCTTTAATCTTTTGGGAGCTCAGGATTCTCCACAGAGAAAGGGAGTCTGGTTGCCACATACCTTTTTTTGTATAGCTACAAGATTTATTTTCTTTATTTTTTTAATGGCATGAGATAATGCCAATGATACATAAGAACTTTATGGAATAAAGCTCCCTGCAATGTATATTGACTTCTGTTTTCTGTCTGTTATAATAACTAAATAAACATAGGCATGTGGTTGCTTAAGACTTCACAGAAATTTGCCATGGAACTTTCTGAAAATTTGGCCTCTTGAAAGAAATCCAAATGGAATTATCTTTTCTTTTTTAAAAATTTTTTAATTCCAGCCGGCGTGGCTCAGCACTTGAGCATCGACCTAGGATCCAGGAGATTGTGATTGATTCCCAGTCAGGGCACATACCTGGCCTGTGGGCTCGATCCCCAGTGGGGAGCATGCAGGACGCAGCTAATCAATGACTCTCTCATCACTGATGTTTCTCTCTCTCTCTCCCTCTCCCTTCCTCTCTCTCAAATCAATAAAGATATATTTTAAAAAAACCAAGACCAAATAAATGTTTTTATTAGTTTTTAGAGAGAGAAGAAGGGAGAGGGATAGAGAAATAGAAACACCAATGAGAGAGAAACATCATCCATGGGCTGCCTCCTGCAGGCCCCCTCCTGGGGATCGAGCCTGCAGTTTGGGCATGTGCCCTGATCAGGAATCTCACTGGTGACCTCTTGGTTCATGGATTGACACTCAACCGCTGAGCAACACTGGCTAGGCAAATGGAATTATCTTATGTTTTTTCTTGTTATTTTGCTTCTGTAAATATGTGTGCTAGAATAATGGGTAACTGGGTAAGAAATGTCACAGCATTGCTTTACAAAAATGCTTAATATTTATTTCTTTCCTTCAAGTAAAAAGTTAACACTAAAAGTAACAAATCTGTTATTATTTAAGAGTTCTTACTGCAGCGTGTCTTGAGATAGTTTTATTTGATGGTGTTTAATTTAATTAAAATTATTATACTTTTATTATACTTTCTTTTTACATTGTTCTTTGAAATCATTGAAATTGCCTAAGTAACATGTTCTTTCTCTACTTGATAAAATGGAGAGCCCAGAAGATTAATTTAGATAAAGAATGGAAAGTAAAAGGGTCACAATATGTACCTCATTTTATTAGAAGGAAGTACATTATAAAAATAATCACTTGAAGAAAGAAAAGATAAAAATAGCAAAGTATTTTAATTTTCATATCATTATCAAGCCGTTATAAAGGCTGTCTTTATACAAAAGTATGTGTATTTATAAGAGATATGATCATTATTAGCTTTTTATTAAACTATCTGGCATATTATATTTTAATATATTATTTAATGTCTTTTGTTTTGTTTTCTTTTAAACAGCAAATGCCAGTCTCCTTGGAGGAGGAGGTGGTAAGTCCTGAAAATCACTTAAAATATATTTTTATTTCTATATCAACCACAGATGTTCAGTCCTGTGACACTTTAAACAAAATTAATTTAGCTATAATCATCAATCAAAAATGATAACATTCTAGAAAATAATTTCTAATGGAAATATTTTAACTGACTTCAGAATGTGTGGAGTAGTGTTTTTCTTCTTGTCAAACTTTGTATTTCTACCTTTGGCATAAGTGTAACAGCTGTAAGCTATTGGGATGAATATACAGATAGCAGATGACAGTCACTTTTAATATTTGGAGACTTGTGGTTTTGGGTGGTCTTTTTTTCATCATAATGACTATAAAAAATTTTAACTCTGTAGCCTGAGAGCTTAACATATCAGCCAGTGACTAATAAAAAAGTTAGTATTGGCACTTTGCTTTTGCTTTTAGGCCATTTAAAGCAGAAAGAGTGGAGATGAGGGTGAGATGGGGAAGAGAGAGGTTTCTGTACTGAGAATTTAGTTCTGATCCTATGTTCTTATACCTATTCATTATTTTTATTTCTGGATTGAGGGATGAAAGCTCTCCTAGCCCCAGTCTATATAAGATAGTAAGAGAGGGAAAGGTACGCATTAGAACAGGGGCCTTTCTATTTAAGACCCAGATGGCCATAAATGGGTTTGTTTTCACTCTTGCTCTCTCCCTCCCCACCTCACTCTCTCTTTTCATGTACATGATGGAAGTGAATGTGATTGTACAGAGATTTAGGCTTTAAAAAAATTGCCTGGCTTTTATCAGGAGATATCAGTGTAATTTTATTTAGCAATTAAATTTTGAAGCATCATTTCCATATAAGAATTAATAGATTTTCAAAAACAGAATCTTGGAAAGAGGAACAATAGAAAACAGTTTAAACTATATGATGTTTTTCATATTTTCACATGTCAGTGAATGTTCTATGGCAGTTTTTCTTTTCTTTCACAAATTATTTTAGAAAATATAAATCTACAGGATTTCTAATTGTAATTTTTTTGTATATTTGGGAATTATAGGGTAACTTTTTCTTATTAGTTGGATTCCCAGTAAATTTTTACCTCTTGGCCTCTTATAATATGTTAAGTAAACATTATTAAAATAAATTTACATAGTGCTGATTTTCTTGCTAGACACATTAGTATTTTAACAAATTTGACTAAATAGGATAAAGGAAAGTTAAAATTGAGTCTCTATAAACAAATTCATCAAGTTAAAAAACAGACACATCAGCTAGACAATTTATTGTCTTGGCTATTTTTATAAACTGGCTTGACTGTTTGATTATATTAGTTAAAATCACTTTAGTTGCACATAGTAGAAAAATCCAAAATAATAGTGGCATATAGGAGATAGCAATATATTTCCGTCTCATGTAAAAGTAGTATAGATGTAGACTGGAGTGGCTGGGTATGGTCCCATGGCGTCATCGAGCACTCAGGCTATTACTTTCCTGCTCCTCCTTCCCAGTGCATGGAAGCCAGGGTCCGTGATGGCCAGTGGGGCTCTAGCCAACATGCATTTGGGGGTCAGAAGGAGCAAGAGGCCAAAAGTGAAAAATGGTGGCCCCCAAAAGATGAGTCAGTTTTTTAAAGCAGATTTCCATGAAGTCTCACATTATCTGTGAACTTGATCAAATGCTCATTCATGGATACATGTAGTTTTATTCCAGAAAGCAATGTGTTTATTAAAAACAAAAGTGGTGTCCTGTTTTCTAAGGAGGTAGGGCAGAGTGGAAGTTTGGGTGGGACTAGCAGTCTCTGGCAGAGTGGATGGCAGGCTGTTTAGGAAGACTCGTCAAGGTGATTTGTTTCAGTATATGTGTACCTAATTGGTATTTATATAGAATTAACTCTAGTGACTTGGCCTGAATTTCCTTAGAGTTCCTCTAACCTGTGTGAAAAAATATATTATGAATTTTTAGCAATGGTAAGACATTCAGGAATAGGCAAGTTCAGTTTTCTGTTTACTATCCTCGGGGACATATATGTATGGGTGATTTTGCTAAATGTAGTTATTGCCATAATTTCTAATTTCTGAATTTTAAAGTTAATGAGTTAACATGATTATTAAGCTAAATTACAAGTATTTAAGGTGGCTGTAATTTCTCCCATTAAAGTAGGTCATTGGCAGATTTAAATTCATTTATGCACCTCTAGAGACATCAAGATTGCTCTGAAATACACGTCTGATTTTGGAAGACTGTATTTAAAAATTAAATTTTAGGAATATTTTTAGCCTTCTTATGCTGATTTTTGGCCTTCTAATCATATGACAAATACTTTTTAATCCTGTCAATGATATTTGTAAAGTAAAACCTAATAATCATCCAATAAGGAGCAATTAAATTGATGTAGTACTGTTGGATTTAATCAAAGATTCTTTTTATTGACTTGAATTCATATCCCTTCAAAAGCCCCTGAAGGGACTAATTCTTTGATTGACTAAACAATTTGATCAAGAATATTTGATACCACAATAATAATGGTACCTTAAATACTGTTTTCTTAGTTTTCAGGAGAGCTTTCTCTAAAATCTGAATAAGTAGTGCTTGAAACTTAGACAAAATCAGTGCATACAAAAGTGCATTATCCATAAAATCTTAGCATTTTGTTGTTCTTTTCTGAGTTTCTGTAACCAAGAAGAGAGGTCTCCTGAAAGGATTTTTAAAAGCGGTCACAGTTAATCCTCTTAGCTCTGATTTTAAAGTGAGATCATCACTTCAGTGGTGTGCGTTTCCATGTTTGGGCCAGAGGCCACTCTTTCTAGGAACTTAGTGTCTCTGTAGTTCATTGTGATGAACACAGGTGACGGGGTCACGACTACCTAGTCATTTCAGATGAAATGCTTGGTGAAGTGGATCATCTCTGTTTATATATTTTCCAGATTTGTTAAAAGCAGACGTATATGCTAATTTTTTAAGTATGTGACTGGTCTGTGCAACTGGATTCTGCCCTTCAGGAAAACTTTATACTATCTTTGTAATGGTAGAATGTCAGAAACCTTAAAATTTCTATTATTTTTTAATAAACTTTCCATCACCACTACCAGTAGTACCCTGTATAATAGCTGTACAGCGTACTGATTTATAAAACAAGTCAACTTTATTTTCTCACTTAGTCTTTTTATTACTCGTATATTGTGCTACAGTAACAAACAAACCTAAAGCTCTTAGTGGCTTAATAAAATGAGGTTTATTTCTTGGTCACACCATAGTCTTAGTGGGATTGGTGGCTCCTACTCAGGTTCTCACACGGGTGGTGACACACAGATGCAGGCTGCTTCCCTATCTCGATCTACAATATACTATGTGATATGTGGCTACTAAAGATGCCACAGGAAGGGAGAGCTGGAAGATCTTGTGGGATATATTTAAAGACCAGTTTGGAAATGGCTTACATCACTTATGTTCATGTTTTATGGGTGAGAATTCAGGCAGGTGACCCCCAAGTTAACTATAAGGGAGGCTGGGAATGGAATCTCCCAGAGTTCCCAGGAAGAGAAAATGGTATGGTAGATACATGACACTGTCTCGGCCACCGTGCTGAAGTGAGATCCGTTTTATTTATTTATTGTTATTGTTACTATTGTTTTAATTTTTATTGTAAAGGCCAACGGTTGAATGAAAAGGCAGGTTTGTTGACTTCCATGCTGGGGTTCTTTGCCTTTGCTTTGTGATTTCTTTGCTTTGCTCTTCAGATTTGCTTTCTCTGTGCACACATAGGTAACTTTGTTTACACCAGGAAAAATGAATGAGGGGACAGGAAAACATGCAGCTGAGGTATAGATGATGCTTTCCTTGACTTGTTTTCACAAATCTCAAGCCCAGTTGGTCATTTGAAAGTACATACAATGGCTCTGTTTTATGCTACCTTTGGATTTGCCGCCTGGATTCATATACCTTTGGTGTGTATTTGAGGTTCCATCGTAGAACTCATTACATTTTAAATACATGGCCACTCATCTGTATGAGAATGTTTTACATGAATGAAGTTCTGCGATGTTGTACTTTTAGAATATATAATAAAAACAAATCTTTGCAGTCAGCCTTAAATTGTCAAGCAGCAGAATTAAAAAGAGAAAATAATAATTAAGGAGATAATTCCTCAATTCCTTTTAGATCATTGCATCATAGAACAGAATAAAATTTACGATCTCCTACTTTGGCTAATGTCTTTTCCCTTTCAATGCCACAGTGATTAACATAAGATCAGAATCTGATAATAGAGGCCAGTGTTTATGAGATTCCCTTCCTCTTACAGTCTGTCCGGCTCCTGAGGCAGAATGTTAGACACTTAAAGTGACAGAGTGGCAACTGAAGGCTGGCTTTTCTTTACACAGCCATACAGGAAGCTGTTAACCATGCACATACACATGTACACACATATATACATGTACACGTGACATATATTTGAATCAATACTGTAATTTTGTTCCTTACTCTTGAGGTGATTCTGTGGCAGGTTAACTTTAAAGATTCAAGTATAAGCAGCTACCACTAAATAAACACCCATTCCCCCATCTCTGCAGGCTTCTTGCTATCCTTGAGTCCCTTAATGTGGCCCCCAAATTGACAAGGTTCAGTGGCCTGGGGTTAGTTACCGCTCCTCTGAGCTCTCTCCTTTCTTGTGCGGACTGTTCTACTTGCAGAGAGAATTCCCAGTGCTGTCTTGTTGTTGTCAGCGTAGATGTCCAGGCAGTTCGTATGAGTGCCAAAACGCACGCTTCAAAAGCAGCGCAATCGTAAAACTGTCTGGTGTTACGCAGGAGATACCATCAGTGTCTCTCCGTTCACTGATTAAACAGATACCAATTCAGTCTCTATTGTGTACCTGTTTATTTGGCAGAACGCACAGCCCTTTCCCTGTGACCAGTCCTGATCTCTGTTTGGCTGAACTATCTGAGTAGTTATAATTCCCCATGTTCTTTAAGGTCTTCCAAGGTTTTTTTTGTTTTTTGTGTTTTGCGTGGGTCTTTTGAATTTAGACGATACTT